ACGTTGTAACAGTAACAGCCACATTATGCAATGACCAATATTGATAAACTTAACCCTTCTCAGCAATACAAGGATCTAAGACATCCCCAGAGGCCTCGTGATGGAAAATGCTATCCACATCCAAAGAAAGAACTGTGGAAGTTGAATCACTATCATTTTTTTTTCTCCTCTGTTGAGTTTTGTTTCCTCTTTCTAATGGTTCCTCCTATTGGTTTTAATTTTTACTTACAACTTCACTAATGTGAAAATATATTTAATAGGAATGTAAATGTATAGCCTATATGAGATTGTGCGCTATCTTGGGGAGGATGGTGGGAAGGAAGGGGGGAGAAAAATTTTAAACTCAAAAGCATATGGAAGTGATTGTTGATAAATCAAAATAAATTAACAAAATTTAAAAAAAAAGAAATGGGCATGTATGTATGAGTCAGCATACACTTTCTAATTTAATTTGACTTCCACTCTTGTTCAGGTAATTCTCCCTGTCCTCCTAACTCATATGGTTTAATTAAGGACATGGGGAATTAAAATTTTATAGTTTTCTGAAACCCTAGTAGAGGTTGATTTATTTAGAATCTATTGGAGGCCTTTCATAATTTTCCCATATGGGCCTACTTGCACATAGCAATCAAATTCCTGAAATTTTTGCCAGATTATGAATACTTTCTTCCAAAAACAGTTTCTGAAACACTTTTAGGCCATTGTTGACCTAGATGACACCCAATAAAAAAACAGTTACCAATATTTCATTTGCACTTGTCCCTTTTTTTTTATATTCTTAGTGCCCGAAGCAAGACCTTAAGATATTTTACTGCTTTATGTTGCACAACTGTGCAAATTAAGTACCAGGCATTATATGCCACCTTTTCTAAATAATCCACTAACTGGCCCTACTCTACTAACTGGTAGGTGAATTTAAATGTAAGCACATGGGATTAAGGTTGTGCTCAATGCCAGATTGGTACTATGGAGTGGGGTCTAATAAGAGGGAGTCTTTGCCAAAGGCAATCAAGTCCTTCACCTTATTCTACTCCTTTCCCAGGTTAACAAAGGGGGAGGGGAACTCCTTCCCTTTAAATTCCTGTCTCCTGCTATTCTCTGCCCTCCTCTGTACTGTTTTTTTTTTTTTGGTTTTTTTTGTTCTTTCTCTGACCTCTCTACCTCTCTCTCGGTAATTCATACACTGACAAAAACCACTCCTTTTTGCTTTTGGATGCTTGCAGATTGTTAGGAAATTTTTCAGGGTGAATGCTTGAATAATTCCATGGAAAAGACATAAAGTCAGATTTACTAATGTGCCTTTATGACATAAGAATAAATATTTCTAACTCAAATTTGGATTATTGGTAGAAACATCATATGATAAGTCAATCCATAGGTATTTATTTAAAAGCTTGCTATGTATCAACTTGCTAAACACTGGGGACACAAAGAAAGGCAAAACTTTCCTCAAGAAGCATACATTGTAAAGAGGGAGACAATACGTACATAGCTAGGGCAGCTAGGTAGCTCAGTGGATAGAGTAGCAGGCCTGTGCTTAGGAAGACTCATATTCCTGAGTTTGAATGTGACCTCAGACACTTTCTAGTTGTATTACCCTGGGTAAGTCACTTAACCCTGCTTGCCTCCGTTTTCTCATCTGTAAAAAATGAGCTGCAGAAGGAAATGGCAAACCACTCCAGTATCTTTGCCAAGAAAACCCCAAATAAGGTCACAAAGAGTGAAAACAACTGAACGACAACATTTACAATGTAATGCAGAATACATGAAGAGTATTAGGGAGTTTAAGGCACTACCAAATGAGGGTTGTGGGGCAGGGTATAGGGAAGTCATCTAGCTGAATGTAAGAATTGGATTGAGTTTTTACAGGAGCCAGGGAAACCAAAAGGGAGAGGTTAAAGAGGGGTAAGGGGTTAGTATTCCAGGCATAGGGACACCCAGAACAAAACAAAGACAAGAGGTTGAATGTCATCTTATAGAAATTGCAAGTAGACCCATTGGTGTATAGCTATATTGTAGAGTTTATGGAGGGGAGTAAAGTATGGCAGACTAGGAAGGATCCAGGTTATGAAGAGTTGTAAATGCTGAAATAGAGAAGTTTATATCTGATCCTGAAAGAATAGGGAGGCACTAGACCTTCTTGAGCAACAGAGTGACCAAGTCAGACCTATGCTTTAGAAAAATCACCTAGGCAACTCAGTGGAGGACAGACTGTAATGAAAAGATTCTTCAGACTGGGATACTTGCTGCCTTCTAATCGAGGAGAAAGCTGGTGAGGGCCTGAATTCGGGTTGTGCACGTGTTTCTAGAGAGAATGGGGATACAAGTGCCAGGATGGATCTTTCTTAGCTGTGTTAATTACCCCCTCTGAGCTCAGTGTCCTAATTTACATTCTCATTGTCAGTCTGGGGTCCTCAGAGGTAGAGGGCAATGATTACTGCTCCCCTCAGGAATCTAGAAATAACTCTGAGGGGCTGGAGTTTTTAACACTATCACTCCTGTGCTTCTGCTGATGTTCTTGCAGTTATTAATGAACCCAGTGACCTTTGTTAGCTTTTACAAAAGGTATTTACCGAGAAGATATAGCAACAATAGTAGTTTTAAAGTATCACTAATGTGTACACCCTTCCCCTACACACACAGGGTCCCTTTGGAAAGTGTGTTCAAACTTAAAGTTCCTGTTTAGGGAACATATGTGGACACGGACTGACTTCTGGATTCTGGCTCCAGAAGTCCATTTCTCCCTTTGTGGAGTTCTCATGAAGTTCCCTTTAGGGGTATCTCTCTCAGATTGGTACCTTTCTGTCGCTAATACTTCTCTCCATCAGGAGATGTCGTGATGTCTGAGGTTGCCACCATCATCAGTATCTGCTTTCTACCTCCATCTGGAGGTACTTCCTCTGTCATTGGCCCCTACCACCTCTGGTGGACTCTTATACTAATTTTGGTTACCAGTTAATCTGCCTGGACGCTCCTTTCTCAGAATACTCATTCATCTGATTATCAGGAAAGAAGAAACAACAAAAGAATCAGGCACCATGTGCCCAAGAACGCATGACAACCAGGTAGAGAATAGGACCTTTGCTTCCCCCCAAAAGGAGCTTAAACAGGAGAACTACTTTAGCAATACCAAGTAAGAGACTGAAGTATTGACTGATCATCCCTTTTGTTTGGAAACTAAGCAACATCCAAGCCATCATTTCTTTTGGCTCCTCAGTCAGTTAGGAAATATTCTGTCATCACCACACCATAGCAGCTTCTCAGGCATGCCTATCTGGAAGTAGGCTCCCCCAAAACTTTCCACTCAGTCACTTGGGCTGGAACCAGGCAAGGAAATATCTCTGCATCCTTCAAGGACTCAGCCTTCATTAGCCAGTCCTCCCATTACATGTGTATATACTGACTTCATTTGTATTATTGGGGTAGTTAGTTCTGCTTTGCAAATGGCACTTTGAGTGAAGAACATAGCAATATAGTGATGAGAATGGAGCTACGTTGTCATGTATCATTGCAACCTTCTTGGTATAGAGATTTCAACTCATGGGAGTAAGAATTTGCTTCATCGCAATGGCATAACGAATTGGATTGAGGGTGCCATGAATGGATTTTGACTATAACCAATACTGTTTTACCTTCTTTCTTTCTTCCTTAATGCAACAGAAAAGGGAATGTAAAATTCTACTTGTGAATGTAGTTATTATAGAAAATGAAGATAAAGTATTGATTTCATCTCTTCATAATCTTTTAAATTTTTGTATCTGTTCATTTTTCAAAATTGTATGCCATAGAAGGATATGATCTTCAAATTCAGCTAGGCTAAATATGATATCCGTATTTAGGAGATATAGACTCCTATTTAGAGGTTTTTTTTTAAGGACCCTAATCCCTGACATGTGTTGAGTAATCGTAATAGTTTATATGCTTATAACATTTTAATTTTTATAAACTTCTCCTTATTTAATAAAACTTTTTGCATGTGTCAGCTATTAATCACCACCACCTCTTCATAGTGTTTTTCAAAGAGTCTTATAAACCTTAACTATTGTGATTTAATTATCTTAATTTTGGTACTATAAGTGTAATATCTAGCAAAGATTTTAGATATAACTTTAAAAGATATTAAAATTTGATGGGTTTCTTGATTTGTTTTTAACTTTTAACTTTTTTAAAAATACCCCATAAGAATACTTTTTAAACCTGCAAGAGAATGCTGATAATTTTAGAGACAGAAGATTACTGTGTGTAACAAGACAGGTGTCAAGAATCTTTTTGCAGTTAAAACTATAAATCTGTTAAAACAATACTTAGAGAAGTTTGAGCAGATTAGCATGTGTTGTTGAAGTTTTAAACTAAAATGCAATGATACTTTTTATCAAAAGAAGGCTTCAACTGTTTAAAATATGGTGATAATTGCTGAATTTTTATCTTGGAAGACTCATTTATTTGGCACTAATATAATAATCTTATAAAATGTGTCTCATCTTTAACACATAATGATTGTATGACCTTGCGCAAATCACTTAACCCTTCAGTGTTCTAGGAAACTTTCTGAGACTCTTAAGTTGTAGAGAAGGTGCTGACCTGCATTGAAAGATGGAGTTTGCTCATCTGAGAATTCCTTATATCAATGAAATTACAGGTGCAGTCCCTCTCCCTGTCCCTAAAGCAATAACTTTAGCATTCCTTTTATATTATATTTCTGGTCTGGAATTGTTTGGGGAAGGAGAAGCTTCTGGTGGGGGGAGGTGGTTATGGGAGTTTTTTGTTTGTTTTTGTAATGTATTTTATTTTATTCTTGAATAGAAGAAAAAAGTATCCAGCCAACAAATGAAATATTTTCGATTCTAAGTTACATTAAAGAAGTTTTAAAAAGGTATTCATTCCCCTTAAAATTTAAATAAGATTTAATTTTGTCTAGTTTTCAAATCATATTTTGAAAATTTGCATTGCAAAGTGATTCAATCCTATGTGACTCAAGTCTCACAGATGACAATTTTCAGTTTCTTGGCAGTACGGAAGTGGAGCAGCCCAAAGGGACCGAAGTCGTGAGAGATGCGGTTAGAAAATTAAAGGTAGGGAACTTGATTCAACGTGGAGGGCATAAAGCACTTCAGGTATTTTCACATATGAAGACTTTGTTTGATGCGTAGAAATTCATTGCATGACAAATGTTGGGGCATTTGCAGCTTTAACTCATTAAGAGATAGGCCATCATTGTACCAATATTACCACACATTCTCGTTACTCCTCCAAATGCTCAAGGAAGCTTCTTAGGGTGTTTGTGTGGAAGGATAAGCATACACATGTCATTCATTGTATCCAAAGGTAAGACTAAATGAAATACCTTGCCTTTATTATTAGTCAATTATGATTTTTATAAAATCATTTAAACTTTGAGATTTTATAAATATCTGTGAAATTAGTCTTTGCCATTATTGTTCATGGACAGAAAGAATGCTAACACAACCCACTTAACAGGAGGCTCATGACCAAATTAGGCACCTACCACTGAGTGAGGGGAGCAACTCATTAGCATTGTGCAGAGTCCAGGGGTGGGGAACCTGCCATGCACAGGCCCCCATTCCCCAGTGTTCTTCTAGAAGGATTGTGTATTTCCTAAAGTGTTAGATTATTCACCAAAGCCCTAGAAAGAAGTATATTTTAAAGCACTATTTTGGAAGAAAGACAAATCCAAATGATAGCTCAGTTGTCAAGCATAGGAAGGTCTGGCAAGCTACATGAGCAGTCATTAGGAACTGTTCAGTTTACAATTCCCTGATGCTAAAACTGCAGAGTTACACAGCAGAGCTGGCAACTTAATAGGAAACCCCACCCACCCTTTTTTGGCAGGATTTCCCCCCAGAAATTTTTTACATAATATACTACACTCAGGATATTTCCTCAAACAGTACCCTACCTCAAAAAAATTAAAGCTCACTGGGATTTTTTTAATTTGAAAAGCCCCTCCCTTCTTCAGAATGTTTCTTTCCAAAGATTTTATGTCTTTTTAAAAGACAAAAAGACATTTTTCTCATACACACTTTGGGGGTTGGAGTTTGGTGGGGTAGGGTGTGTTATTTGTGAATTGTTTCAGTTAGCTTGACCAGTTTTTAGAAATTCTCTTGCAAATCCACTTCAAACTCCTCAAGGAATAAACCATTTCATTATATTTACTTTGGCATTAAAAAAAATACTCAATTGAGCTAGCTTCCACTGCGAAAAAAATAATTGGAAAGGGGCTATCTCAAAGGTTCATTGTTAATGGTAAATATTTCTTTTATATTGAAGCTATCAGATTGGAGCTGTCCAGTGTTTGAAGTGGAGAAAGAAGTAGAATTGTTTGTATTCAGAGACAATATTATCTGTAGGTCCATAATTTCCCAAAAGGATTTGTTCTGTAAAGTTTGGATTCAGTCAAAGGGCTGCGCTGGAGGACCTAGAGGGCCCCGAGGCCACAGGTTCCCCACCCCCTGGGCTAACTTCTTGAGTAGGTGGTTTTTTGCCTACTTGGACAGAAATAAGAGACCACTTCATTCCAGTCCATAATATTTTCCTAAAGCTACAGAAAGTTCTGGTCTTAGTGTGACCAAACATTTTCAGGCATTTGGAGATGGTCTAACTTTGCAGTGACTTGTCATAGATTTTAAGGGCACAGTGTACATGCTTGCATAAAAATTTCAGAAGACATAGGGATGTAACTCCATTTTCCTATTTACAACTAATATGGCCTTGAAGAAGTCACTCTGTCTCTTTGGGTCTCAGTTTCTTCACATGTAAAATCAGAGAATATAAATAGATAGATGATTTCTAAAATTCCTTCTAACTCTAAATCCTGTGGTCTATGACTTACAAATGAGAATCATAAAGTTTAGTAGAGAATCCACAAACTTATGAGAAGTGATCAGTGAAATAATTTTCATTCATTGACCTCATTTAAAATTGTATATTCCCTGTCTAGTTTCCAACATGCAACAAGTTTTGTAATTCAGACTTGCTTCAGTTAGAATTTATTACAAGCATGTACGATATTGATTTTATAAGTTTTTGTTAACATGTTAATCAGTAAACAGAAACATTTTTAAAAGGATTCAAAGAAAACAAGTAACTTCTAAGTAATGTTATGGAAGTTTAATGGCTTATAAGGATTTACATGCTTTACAAAATTTTCTTACTAAAAATAGATTTAACATGAAATAAAAACCATACAACACAGAAAAATGTGGATATATGGTTTTTTAAAAATATTTATTCCTAATAAGTAATTTTTTGTTTCTTCAAATGTAATTAAGGACAAATTTTGACTAATAATCTGCCACACCTTAAAAAACTTGTTTGTCTTTAGTATACTACAATTTCAGTTAAGTTAATTTGGTATCAGGCTCCCCCAGCTAAAGAGCACCAAGAATTGTGTATATTTCAAGTTTTTAAAGGATTCCTGTTGTCTTTGTATACCCCATAACCCACCCTCCTTATTCCTTTGGCTTGTTGCAAGAAGGTTGCTACTATTTCCAGCAGGTGGCGCCAATGCTCCATCGTACAAGCGCGGTGCTCTTAGTGAAATGATGCGCTATTTACACCTCCCCCACTTCAGTTTCCTGCTCATTCTTTTGGCATATGCATTCTGCTTTGAGTGGGTGTGTGTACTTACATCTGCCAAGGCTTAGGAGTTTGACATCCATCATTTTGTCATGGCTCCAACTGTTTGTACTTTATTTGCTCCACAAAGTCACCCCATAGCTTTACTCACTTGCTGCTATGTCATTGTGTTGGATTTCTGGATGAAATGAATAACAGCATAGTCAAACTCACAAAGAGCCAGGGACTAAAAATATTTGAGACATAAAATGTTTTGTAGTAAATTGTTAGCATCGTTAATATGTAATGTGATTCAGACTTTTAAAGATGCTCAGCAGCCTGTTCCTTGATGTCTTTTATGGGCTATGTTTGATGTCTGTTGGATCCTGAGTTAGTGAAAAATCAGACTTTTAGACTATCATGAAAATCTCCTTTGTTTTTCCATTATTCTCCCAACCCTTTTCCGTTTGTATGTTTCTTGGTTGGCTTAAAAAAAATCACTGTGGTAAATATATTTTCCTTAAAGCAAGCACATGGATGCTTGCTTTCATATGAGTTTTGATACACTGTTATAAAAGATTTACAAATTCTTATCATGTTTAGACAAATTGATTCTTAAATGAAATAAGAATGACTCAAACTTTTATACATTGAAATTGTGCCATTGGTGCTTTAATATGACCTCCTGAATTTAGTTCCTTGTTTAAATTTACTTTTTACTTTGAATTTTAGGATCTTGGGATCTTAATTAAACTAGTCCAATCCCTTTAATTTAAAAACATGGAAAGCCTGGGAGTTTAAATGACTTCCTGAAAGACACAAAGGTATTAAGTACTGAATATAGATTTGAACCCAGGTCTTTTGACTATACCTATAGAGTATGTATAGTACGTTCACTGTATGACATTTAATTTCATAATATATTATAGAAAAGTATTTTAAAGGCTCTATATTTTAGGGGGTATGCATACCCTTGTGTGGTATATATGTTTGGGTATGAGGCTTCAATGCTCCCAAATTTTGGGGGGATATAACCAGATAGAAGATATTAAAATCTCTACAGAAAAAGAAACCGAGAGAAAGCAATGGAACTTTATGCAATAAAACTAATAATTCACACTTAAATTTACAAGATGTAAGCTTGAGTGCTGGAAGAGACCTCAGAAGTCATCTTTTCCAACCCCCTAAATTAAAACTGAGACCTAGTGGGATTAACTTGCCAAAGTCTACACACGAACACTTTAAAGTTTCTAAAGTGCTTTAGTAAATTATCTAATAAGATCCAGAATTCTTAACCTTTTTTTTGTATCATGGACCCTTTCAGCAGTCTGATGAAGCCTATGAACCCCTTCTCAAAATAATGTTTCTTGCATGCATTTATAATTCAAGGAAATTATACTTTTGGGTTAGACATTTGTGAAAATAAAAGTGTTGTTGGGTATTTTTTTTAAAACCATGCAAGTTCACCAACAGCCTAGAATCTGTCACATACTTCAGGTTAACAACATTTGAATTATATCCTTTTCATAACAACCCTATGAGGTAGGTTCTATTACTCTCCACATTTTTACAGATTAAGAAACTGAGGGTCAGACAGATTAAATGACATTCTAGGGTCACAAAGTTAGCGGCTTTCTGAGGCTGAATTTGAACGTAGGCCTCTCCTGTTTCCAAGCTCATCACTTTACGGACCACACCACCCTGTCTCTTTACAGTTATTCTATGGAGAGGTAGACTTGAGATTAGAATCTGGGTTTACTGACTGCTAGACCAGCATTCCTTGTATTTCTTTGTTTCTCTGGTGAGATTATTTTTAATTAGTGTGGTATTCCTGACCAACTTTTTGGGTTTATCATTAGTCTCTTTCAAGTTTGATATTTTTGTCCAGTTAATAAAATTCATTTTAATAGGTTTATTTCTACATAACCAAAGGATTATTAGGTATTTCTTGAGTTAATCTCTTCCAATGGAAAGAACCACTAAATGTGCCCAAGTAATCATGCTGTGAATTAAATGTCTAATAACTCAAGGGTATCCATAGTATTAGGGCAGCTAGCTGGCAAGTGGATAGAGCACTGGGCTTGGAATCAGGAAGACTCATCTTCATGAGTTCAAATCCAGCCTCACACACTTGCTGTATGACCTTGGACAAGTCACTTCACCCTGTCTGCTTCAATTTCCTTATCTGTAAAATGGGCTGGAGAAGGAATCGGCAAACCACTTCAGTGTCTTTGCTAAGAAAACCTAAAAATGAGATTATGGACAGTTGGGCTTGACTAAACAACAAAAATTCACAGTATTTTACCTTGATTATTTTTCCCAGAGGACCATTATAATTTTCTGCATATAATTTTCTCTAATGTAAAGTTAAATTGTAAGAAGATTTCAAGAATTCACATTAATATGGGGAGAAAATAAAGAAAGTTTAAGAAAGAATAGCCAGGATTTTTTCAGACTGAAATGGAAGCTTATACAGAAAATCTGCAAGTAGAAAAGATAGAGAGTAGAAGGGAAAATGAAAAGTACAAAATAGAATGAGCTGTAAGGTATAGACAACATTTAGAGAGATTGAAAGAACTTTATGGTTTAAATAGATTGAAAAATGCACTATACTGAAATTTGCAATTATATGAAAAATTACAAATGTGTGTGAATACACACACACACACACACACATATATGCAGACACACACATAAATGTATGTGGGTATATATGTATGTATATATGTGTGAATATATGTATATACGTATACATATATACACTCACACATATATACATATACATAAAATGACCATTGCAGAAATAGAAAATAAAATTTCTACTGCATCATTTGAAGGGAGGAGTGAAGTATAAAGAAAAAAGAAGTGGATTCTAAATCAAGAGATTGGGCTTCTTTTCCTAATTCTGTGACCTTGGGCAAGTTACTTAAACTTTCTGGGTCTCAGTTTCCTCTTCTATAAAATGAAGAGGTTAAAATAAATAGTCTCTGTCAATGCTGACAGTGATTCTAATATAAAGCAGGAAACAGTTGGTGAAACTAATTTGTTATTCATTCATCTACCTGAACAGAAAGGGGTGGGGGAAATCTAAGTAGATAAACTTAATTGCAGTGACTGTTCTGTAGCCAGCTTCTTAGAAATTCCAAAAGGTTACCCAGTAACTTGCCAAAGGTCAGTGTAATGCTCCTGGCTTGAAATGTAAAACAAGCTTCCTGAGTTTTTGCTTGTTTTTATTTTCTAGGAAATGGCTCATTAGAATAGCCCTTAAGAGCCATGCTTAAAATATCTATGAAGTAATTGAGTTGATTGACTCAGACACATTGAGGTAATATCACAGAAAATGATTTATTAGGTCAGTATTCTTATATGAAAACCCCCGTTGTCTTCATTGTGCCAACATAGGAAGGGAAAATCATGAAGAAAAATAAAAACAAATCAATCTGCATTCTTTGGGAGGGACCTCGGTGACAATGCAAACAAAAGATCTACGTTAGAGTAAAACCAAGGATCGTACAGAAAAATCTCCTTCAAACCAGCTAGATATCTGTGGGTATTTTAGAGGTGCTGCATCCAAAAATAGGCCAACCAATCATTCATTCTACTAGACAGTCTGCAGAAAAAAATCAAACCACCCCAAATGGAAAACAAGACAAAACAAAACAAAACCCAGCAATCCACCCCTTGCTCTCCATTTGACAGTGAGAGATTCCAAATCATAAGTGACAAGTCATTCAACCCAACTCTGCCATCTATTAACATGCATGACTGTGGACCATTTCCTTCACCTCTCTAGGCCTAAATATCCTCAGGTGTAAATATTTTTTGGAGGGGGTAAGGAGGGACCATACTAGATGATTTTAAAAATACTTTTCAGCTCTAAATCTGTAATTTGTGTATATTTTTACATTATGCAGCAACAATGAGCAAAGCTCATGGGGCACACAATTAGACTGTAACTTAATTCTCAGACTTTTACTATAAAATGTATAATTATATTTCCTACAAATTAAAGTTATATGAGCAGAGTACAAGAAAGAGTATGACATAGTGACTACAGAATGTCCCTCTCGATGAACTACACTGTAAATAGGGAGAAATAGAGAGGGGGAGGGAGAGAAAAGGTGGGAGGGGGGAGAGAGAGAGAAGTAGAGAGGGAGGGAGAGAGAGGGAGAACTTAAGAGGTCAACTAGTTCAACCACAAAATGGTTATTACATACTTCAAAGAGCTGTGAAATTGTGTATGTTTATGTGTATGTATGTATACACACATATCTCTGTATAGCATGTATATCTACATATAGCACTGATGTGTGCATATATATGTGTACGCATATATAAATACACCATATACACACCCTAGAGAACTAGAGTGTTGGGCCTGGAGTTAGGAAGACTTAATTTCAAATGTAACCTAAGACACTGACCAGCTGCATGACCCTAGGCAAGTCACTTAATCTCTGTTTGCCTCAGTTTTTTAATTGGCAAAATGGGGATGATAATAATAGTAAATACCTCCCAGGGTTGTTGTGAGGATCAAACAAGAAAAGAGTTGTAAAGCACTTCTTAAAACAGTGCTTGGCACCTAGTCAGCACTATATAAATGACAGCTACTTTACTGTATTATGATTAGGATTATTATTCTAAGACCATACGTTGCAAAGCACAGGCCAGCCTTCTTCAGTAAAGGGCATTTCCACATCCAAAACTGTTGAGTTCCCAGGTTCAGCTTCTATCCCTATCCTATTACCAGGAAATCTCCAGAAGGAGAGGCAGCATGGTAGACAGAGAACTCTCCTGGGATTCAGGAAGACCTAGGGTCTAAGTTATCTCTGAATTATCCTGCCTCTGTGACCTTGGGCAAATAACTTAACCTCACAGTGTCCCAGGAGAATGCACAGCTTTGCCTTGCGGTGGGAGTTCCTCATCAGGAGTTTTCTACACTGATGAAATCATGGATCTGTTTCAGGAAAGAAAAAGAAAGCCATTCTGAAGACTCTAAAAGGGAGCAAAAGCTGCTTCCCCTTTAGTGGTGTTATTTCTGTCTGTGGCAAAAAGGAGCAGCTAGGTGGCACATTGGACAGAGCACTGGGTCTGGAGTCAGAAAGACTCATCTTCCTGAGTTCAAATCTGGCCTCAGATACCAACTGTGTCACCCTGGGCAAGTCATTTAACTTTCTTTGCCTCAGTTTTCTCATCTATAAAATGAGCTGGAGAAAGAAATGGCAAACCACTCCAGTATCTTTGCCAAGAAAACCCAAATGGGGTCAGGAGGAGTCTGACAAGACTGAAAAAAAAAAGAACTAAAAAATGAGATACTCCATGCATAACGATTGCTGATTGTTTTATAATAGAGAACCTACAGATTTCACCCTGAGCTTACTACCTTGATGAGAAGTTAGGAATGCTAACTAATACATCTTGGAGCATTGGAATGTGAAAAATTTCAGTGTTTTTGGCAAGGTTTTTTTTAAATTTAGCTGCCATTATGAATATCAGAATTTTATAAAATGCCCAATATCTGCAGAGTGTATTAATAATAATAATGACAATTTTTTTTTGTTATTCACAGTTTCAAAAACATTTTCTGCAAAAAAGCCAGGGTCATAAAAAGTTAAGTATTTTCTTAATTTTGCTGGCAGGGAAACCAAGGCTTAATGAGATTAAGTAACTTCCGTGTAGTTATGGTTCCTAGGATCAAAGATCTAGTACACACACAGGATCTCATAAACCATTCAGTCTTTAACTATCTCATTTTACAGATGAAGAAACAAAGGCCCAGGAATATTAAGTGACACTTGTAAAAAGTGTCTAACTTAGTCTCTTTTCTCCAAGTCCAGGGCTCTTTCCATTACAGTGTAGATGAGCCAGGGGTTTAAGGAGAAGGGAAATCAACACTGTTAATTATTATCAAAATTAGTTCTGAGCAGCCCAAAGTCAGTGGATCAAGTAATCTATATGTTTGACCTAAACCATAATAGTAATCATTCCCCTCATTCCTGTCAATATAATAATGATAGCTAACATTGATCTCACACTTATTATATAATGCTAATTATTTCCCTTCTCCTCCCTTTCATTCTAGCTATGGTGATGTTTTGTTTTGTGGTGTGGGGTGGTTGACACAAAGACCTGGCATCCTGATTTCTCCCCTAAAAAAACTGATACCCTTCATAATGGCGAAATTGTAAATGTCTCTTCTTAGGCAGTGAGCATCTGGTGTTCTGTAGGGACCAAAAAGATCAAAACCATAGAAAAGTATGTTGATCTTTTTCACTTCTCATTCTGAACATTAAGAAAGAGCTTCTTAGTTACTTAATTTTCTCATATGTGTTGTGGGAATAATAATAATAGTTTTAATTTACCTTATTGGGAGTTTGAAGGATTCTGTTGTGATGTATAAAAAGTTTGAGAAATAGTTTCTGGGTAATTAATCATTTTATTGATCATGCTAGCATATAATTAATAAAAGGGGTCAGTGACACTCTGGAATGCTAAAGATCCCCTTCATGGAACCCACTCAATGTTTATATGCCCTTGGAAGAGTGGGTATTCCTGAGGATGGCAAACGACTCTAATTGGTTAATAATTAATGATAAGAATGAATATTATAATGAGAGGAGGACTTGTTCTACTGAGGGGCTGAGGGATGTGATTTTGATCATGTCATTTACGTCTAAATAACCCCCAACCTTTGGTAATATAGACAAAGGATCTACCTCCCCTCCCCCCAAACAGCCTCAGTGGTGCACAATGGGCCATAATTCACCTTAGATTAATTCTTTGTAAGGTTTTTTAGTTGGATGGGGAAACAACTCCACCTAGATAAGAGAGTCTAGGTGGAGTAAATTTTTGGGAAAGGTCAAAGACCTCTTCAATAATTTGTTATTTAATAATCATTTCTCTTGCTTTGCAGTGATTGTGATTTAGCATATAGAAAAATCACCTTCAAGCATTTATCAGTTGAGGAATGACTCAGTCAGAGACGGGAATGTTTATATGTGTGCCATTCCTTTCAATTTGGTCTGCTATATAGAATTAACAAAATGATTATTACTTGTTTTGTATTTAGGTACAGAGAAGAATATAAAAAAATGTGTAAACAGCCAGCAAAGACATCATGTAAATCCAGTCTTTCGGTTGAAAAAGATTGAAAAAAACCCCCACAAAACCTAAATTACAGACTTGAAAAGTTTAGATTCTGATGTTTTGACTCCCTTAAAAATAAAAATAAAATCATTTTAAATTCTTTTCACTTTTTAGTTTGCGAGACATATCAAGAAATCTGAAGGCCAGAAAACTCCTAAAGTTGAATTACAAATATCAATTTATGGTGTAAAAATTCTAGAACCAAAAACAAAGGTAAGAAACTTCAAGTGTTCCAAAGTGGTCTAAGAAAGACTATTGCCTTTGTTGTATTGGTTTACTTGCCTGTTTTACACTGATTTCACATTATTCTCCCTCGTGTACTTTACAATTTAGCCAAAGTGGCCAACTGCATGTTCCCTGTACTCTACTCTCTCTCTGACAACTAAGAGCCTTTGTCCACATTGTCCTCTTCCCTGGAACACTCTCGCTCCTGCCTGCCTCCTAGTGCTTTTCTGATTCCCTCATTTATTAGTACTTTTCCCTCTGTAATTAATTTATATTTGTTTTGCACATAAATTTTATTAGCTTCTCCTATATATATTTGTTTTCTCTTCCTTGCTAGAATGTAAACTCCTTGAGGGGAAAAAACGAAAACTGGTTTCTTTTTGTCTTTCTGTCCCCAGAGTTTAATGCATTACACATTGCCTTGCAGACATAAAGCACTTAAATTTTTGCTGAATTGAGTTTTAATTGATTTCATCCCCTTGCTTGGGTTACCACAACTTGTTTTAGTCCCACAATAAAAGAATGAGCACTGCTACCATAAATTTCCTAGCTAATTCTTATTTATTGATTTAAGGGGGTTTCAAAATGCAAATAGACAGTTTCAACATCATTATTCTGGTCTTGATCATTCCTAAGTCTGTTTTTGGAATTGTGCAGATAGCCTTGAAGGATATCTATTAGGTTTTATAGTTGAAGGATTTTTTTTCTTACACTGTTTAGGAAACCTGGAGGCTAATGTTTTACATTGATTGTTAATTTGGAGAAAGGTATAGCCAAGACCTATTTAATTAAGCCTTTTAAAGTTTTGAAAACATTTTCTGTAAAAAAGCTAGGGTCACAAATACTGAAGTATTTAACTTCTGGCTTCTAGATTTTTATTTTATGTGTAGAACATGGGAGTACATTAGTTTCTTGAATTTTAGCTTCTTCAATCTATAAATACAATTCTACAAAATATTTAAAAATCAAATGGTTGGAATTTCTATTTTTTCTTTTTGAAAAGCCATTGTTGAATTTGGGCCTTCACAGGCAGTGTGGACTCACCTTACTGGAGCTAGACTTCGCGTAGACATCTGATTGGCTTTAGCCATACTTCTATTCACAGTTACCAAAAGATCACCAATCTTAGCCTTCCTTAGGAGCAGAAATTACAGGTGTGCACTGCCATTCTCAGGGAAAAGTTTTGAAAGACTTCCAAGAAAACTGTAGGAACAAAAGATTAAATATAATTAAAGTTTTCCACCTAAAAAAAAACTGTGCACATACATACCCGCACATATGCATACATATATACATATATACATACTAGGGTTTCCCATAGAGTGAGATAGCCCTTAAATTTTTAAAATTATAACATTAAAATTCAAATTCTTTGTAAGCTACTAAGCTGATTATTTGCTAGAAGTTGGCCAGACATTATTTCTGTCTTATGCAAATGTTCTATCCCTGTCTATTAACAGAGTCTTTACTCTGCATATACAGATGTTTAATGTTTGCCATATTGTATTGTAATGCTTGCCCTTTTTCCTCCAGTCTTTCCTTTCTTACTTTTCTTTACTTTTTCCCTTTCTATTTCATCCTCCCTTCTTTTTTCCATTCCTGTAAAGCCCTGCAAAATTATAAAGATGATTTGACCTATAGCTTGTGACATATATTTCCTGAATATTTCTGCTACTAAGTTAAATAGATAGAAACATGTGTTAGTGATCTATGTTAAATGTTTCCCCTGAGTAAGGGACCACTATTACATATATTAATGACAAATGTAACTATGGAGATAACTAAAGTTGTGGAGATAACTTTATTCAGTGATCTGCTAAGTATCAATCTCAAATGAACAGTGCAGTCAGTAGAGGGCTCTAAAGAAGAGGGATTTCCTAGCGCTGGGGGATTCTCCATGTATTCCTTATGGAAGATACCATAAAAATTACATCGAGCTAAGGAAGACTACAGGATTACTTGAGTCAGGTCCATAGCCAATCAAAAGAAATTACATCCACATGGGAAAAAGAAAAAAGGTGATTGTGTATTGCTTAGATATTTTGATGTCACTTCAGGTACAACCCATTGAGTTAGTCAATTGGTATACATTTTCTAGGTAGTCCAGGTGAATAATGAACTAGGCTGAGAATTAAGTAGGAAGAAGAGATCATTCTAACTTATATTTCGGAAATTGTTGTGCTTTTGATGATTCCAAAAGGCTCAGTAGCAGTCTATACAAAAACATCTTTCAACACCTAGCTTCTCCCAGGGGCTCTCTGTACTAGAGAGGGCAAACACACTCATTATAGTCCCCAACACTCCCGAGTGCAGTCCAAATCAGATTAAAATATAGCTGGGAAATATTTAACAAAATTAGTGAAAATATAATAAATCATAGTTAATATCACATTTTAAAGCTTAAGTCAATAGGCAGCCCACAGGGGATCCTTATATACATTCTAGTGGACCCCATTTCTATTTGAGTTTGACATCATTGTTCCTATGCTACAGATCATAAAACATCACCATTCCAGATATATGAAAGTTACTGGTCCCCCAAAGGACAATGGAAAAGTATCATTGTTCTGCACAAAGCCTAAAATTTGACCTACATCAATCAGTTCAATGTTTTTCATATTTAAAATAAAATAAGCACTTGTGAACCATTAAAAATTCAATTAACATTAATGTTTAAATTTTTTAAAACCCATAGAATAAAGGATATAAAACATAACTCTTCTCACAAAGCCAGGAGCTACTGGAAGAAGCGCTCCACAGGCAGTTCATGCTTCAGAAAATATTTCTGATCCCCTTTGTGCCCTCAGGCCAATCCTGGTATTTATTTTTATCTTCAGGATGGGAATTACTTCTACAGGGGGTATTAGAATATGTTTTTAGTAAAAGGGATTGCTTGTTTGAACAACCTCGGGCCTCTGGCCCTCAGTGATCCATTGCACCATATGAGGAATAGCAGCCTGGACAAGCATATTACTAAAGATGACTTAAGTGCGAGGAAAGACAGATATCAGTTAAGGATACATGTGACCAGAGAAGCAGGTGGTCTAGTCATGACATTAGAGGGAATGCTAACAAATGGACAACTAAGTGCTCTGTCTCCCAAAGTATTAAAGGGACTGGAAGAATATTTCAAGCATTTTGAATAAAACAGCTATGGAGGCTGTATGGAATGATTTGAGTAAGAATCACTCAGGGTGAGAAAGCCTATAGGGAAGGTGGTCTGTAACGGTATCATCTCTGTGCAGCGGAATTCCAGATCTGTTTGTCTGAGCCAAAGTCTCTCCTGCCCCTCATCACCAACTATCTGTCATAAATTTTAAACTGTATGGCTCATAGACATCTCAAACTCAGATTGTCTAAAACAGAACTGATTATCTTTCCCACAAACCTTCCCAGCTTACTACTATCCTTCAAGTCACCCAGGTTCACAACCTTTATTTTATCCAGAATCAACTTTGAAGTCTTAGTCTGTTTCTACAGAGATAACACTCCATAGCCTTTCCCATGCCTTTTCAAAGGCAGTCTTTTATGCCTATAAAGGTCTCTCTCCCAACCTCCAACTGTTAACAATCCCTAACTTCCTTTAAGACAGCCCAAATGCCACCCTTTGCAGGAAGCCTCAGTTTCCCTAGCTCTGAGTGCCATCCCCTCTAAATTATTCTTCCTCTTCATTTAACTTATTTGTTGTGATGAATATACTCCTACATTAAAAGGCAAGATCCTTGAGGAGAGGAACTGTATTTGTTTTTTTCTTTGTGTATTATATACTTACCACAATGCCTGGCTCATAGTTGACATTTAATGAATGCTTAGTGATTGATTGGTTGATTAACTGATTGACAGGGAAAGTACCCATACAAATGAGATCATGAATCCATTGCTGTAAGAAATCCAAAATACCAAATCAAATCATGTTAGAAATGGGCATAGAATCTCATAGTTGTTAGGACCTGCGGTGGTCATCTTACCCGAAACCTAAATATACCTGAATAAAAATCTATTCCATAGTATACTAATACTGCCTAATAAAGATTTTACAAGAATCAAGGCAAATAAATTTCTGCTAGTCCTTATTAAATGAACTCCATCCCTGGTAAAAAGCATTGTTGTTATTCGGTCATGCCTGACTCTTTGTGACCCTGTGGACCATAGCACACCAGTGCTCTCTGTGGGGTTTGCTTGGCAAAGATCCTGGAGTGGTTTGCCATTTCCATCTACAGTGGATTAAGGCAAACAGAGGTTAAGTGGCTTGCTGAGGATCACACAGCTAGTAACCATCTGAGGCCAGTTTTGAACTCAGGTTTTCCTGATTTCAGGCCTAGCACTCTGTCCACTGAACCACCTAGCTACCTGGCCAAAACCCTGTCACGCTTTAATTTAAAGCCATCATTTAAAAAATCCAAATCCTATTCTGACGCAATATTTTTATCTAGTTGCTTACTTAATAAATCTGCCTTTCTTTTCTCGTCTTTCCCGTCAATTGGTTGCAATGAATAAAATACTATTACCATACATACTTGGGAATTTTCATTTATTTATTTGTTCATTCATTCATTCATTCATTCATTCATTCATTCATTCATTCATTCATTCATTCATTCATTTATTGTGTGTGTGTGTGTATGTGTGTGTATAAAATTTTTTATTTTTTAGAATTCTTTGTCAATATCACTAATGCCCACATAAGTCAGCAGAGTGGCTTTTAATCATCTGGTTTGACAAGTCCTGGTAGTTTCTCTGTCGTGGCCTACTTACAAATCTTAAGACAGAAAAGCCTTTCTATTCGTCAAATAACTTCTTTTTTCCCTTTACCCTGTCAGCCCCACTCCCTACTCCACCGTGAATATCACCAACTACTATTTCACTTTTCTCTTCTTCCTTTGACCCTTACTGCATGGCCTCTCACCTGGAAGCACCTGAAGATCCACGTTACCATTACAGTCAAATGATTCCTCCTCCAATGGTGCAACGATCTTTTCTTGGATAAGAACTTCATCTTTGTTATGTATCCTGTTACCCTATCACCTGCGCTGCCCATAGTTTATATCTGAATCAAAGGACATGGGACCATTAAGCCATCCAAAGGAGTTTAATGCCCCAAATCCTCATCATTTGGAGTTTTACCTCTAACTTGTCATCTACTTAACCTTTGTATCTCTGCTTGCCCTGCTTACCTCTCACCTTTGCTTTTTCACTCTGCTTGTGCCTACCACCTTCTAAAATGAGGTAATGAGTGTAATCTACAAACCTTAGAGCACTATATACATTAGCTCCCTGGTTTTTGCTCAGGTCCTCTCTTCATACCTCACATTGTATGTTCTGTGTCATCGATTTACCTTCCTGTTCCAGCACAGGTATTTGATGTTAATTTTCTTTACCCTTCTCGCAATACTTATTTTCCTCATCTGTAATTTTATTATAGGTAAATAGAAATCAGCTTCTGGGAAGGCAGAACGAGACTTCTCCTGCCTTCTCCTTGCACCAGGTGAACATCAAGCTCTTGCCTATTGTTGTTGTTGTTGTTGTCCAGTTATTTTAGTCATGTCCAACTCTTCCTGACCCCATTTGGGGGGTTCTTGGCAAAGATACTGGAGTGGTTTGCCATTTCCTTCTCCAGCTTATTTTGCAGATGAGGAAACTGAGGCAAACAGGGCTAAGTGACTTGCCCAAAGTCACAGAGCCAGTAAGTGTCTGAGGCCTGATTTGAATTCGGGAAGATGAGTGTTCTTGACTCCAGGCCAGGTACTATATCCATTGTACCAACTAGCTGTCCTTCATCATAGGATCATAGGACTAGTGCTAAAAGGGATCTTAGAATGTGAAAGAAGAAAAAAAAATTGAGGCTCAGATGTCCAGGGTCACCTAGGAATAAGTCACAGACCCAGGTCTCCAAGCTAGGTCTTCTGACTGAAATTTCAGTCTTCTTTTCACTTTGTAAAAGTAATCTGTCAGTCCTACCCTAGAATTCCATCTCAGTTATGTACAATGAAAGACTAAGACCCCATATGACTAATATTATGTAGCCCTTTGTGTGTACTTTAGTCTTCCATTTGTGTGCTCACATATTCTGCTTAAATGGATTCTGCTGAATTCCTTGGCAATCTTTCTTAATAGTCTTTTTTAAAAAATTGCTATGGGACTCTTCCATATATAATCTTCTCTTTCCTATTCCTTTCATATATGATGACATAGTATACCTTAGAATCAAGGCAACTTGCCTACTTATTCTCCCCCCTCCCCATCAATTCACACAGATTTAAAAAAATTTATAAATTTCGGTGATCCATGATTTTTTCGATGTGAACTCTCAATTCTCAATTATCAGCAGCTTATTATTTTTCCTCTTATTTTTTGTTTACTCAAATCATAACTCTTCCTTCCTTTTCAATCTCTCTCTCTTTCTCTCCCCCCTCTCCTCCTTTCTCTCCATAACACCCTAGCCCACCCCATGGCACCCCAGATCGGGCTGAGGTAAATGCAATTTTCCCTTGACGTTTTCATCATAACCTTTGGAAAAGGAACTATTTGCTGAGTGATAATGATGTATGTTTATATCCTTTTCTGAAGCCCTCAACTGTCCAGTTGTATTAGTCAAAGTTTAATATTTTTGCTTTGACTAAATGATATTCTCTGGTTTATTTTAATTCCCAAGCTGTATATGATTTTTATGTGATAACTATTAAAGAAAGACCAATTCCAAGTGTTGTTTGAAATTGCTTTTTACCAAAGAGATTGAAAACATTATAGGAGAAATAAACTTAAAATGCAAGATTTTTCACTTTTATTGCAGATTTTATAACCAGTTTCTTTCTGGATAATATGGCCTACATGACAATTAATGCCTAAAGACTAAGCATTTTATGAGATTGAAATCATTTTGATGACAATAATATCTTTGATGATTGTCATTATAGAAGAAGAGACATTATCCTGCAAGCTGGCATCTTAAATATATTCCTCATTAATTTTTTTACAATGGAATAGAATGGAATTTTAGAACGGTATTTTTTTTAGTTTAATGGAGGTTATTATCATGTATTTAATTTCCCAATACTGTTCCTGAAAAAATCACTTTTTGGAACTCCCTTATTTTAATTGAATAAGCATAACTTCTATCTAATAATTGCCTTATAAAATATTATATATTTATTAAATGTACTATCAAGAAATTCATTTTAATTCTTAGGTCACATTTGAAGAGCTAATGAATTCAACTTTTTGGGTTTGCATGGGATATACACATATGAATTCCACTTATGTTTCTTCCCCCTTTTTTGGGGTCCAAACCTATTATTTCATTCATGGTATAAACTGCAACCATGGAAGCCTCCCTAACTGATACAGACCAACAACTTATCTGAATTTATAGTCTTAGAGAATTGCTTAAGTCACTGAAAGATTAAGTGCTATACACAGAACACCACTTCCTAGTTAGCGATCTTAGTAGCACCTCCCTGAGAGACTTCACCCAAGTTTATGAAATATTCAGTATACTTCTAAGTTTTTTTCTCAGAATGCTAAACTGTCATGTTGGTAATAGTTATTGCCCAAACAACTCTGAGGTGTTAGGAATCCCTATTTTTTGCAATTTTAAGTCTTTCCATTTTCCCACATAGATGAGTAGATGGGTGAAAAAATGGTACAAATAGTATCTGCCCACGTGGCACAGTCATTGTGCTACCAGTGTACCCTACATTCCTCATCTTTTCTTTCTGTATTAAAGGCCAAAGCTGCGTATACATATGTATACCCACATATGTAGTTGTGTGTATTTTATGTGCACACATGTTTATACACACAGCAATACACATTCATATGTTTTAATCACTTGAGGAATTAATTAGTAAAATTATGATTTATCTATGTAAAATGATATGTTTATTATAATAGTTGTTATGGAAGCTTTTGTGAGCATGACACTATGGTGCAAACCCAGGGGCCTCTCCAGGGCAGTTTGAATTAACCCCCTGCAGTTGGACTGAATTGAAAGCCAACTGTACAAACTTTGGATGGGGAAGTAGAAGGACTGCCCTGTTTATTAGCTGGAGGCTTTTGAGGGCTGCCTTTTACCTCCAGAGATTGCTTTAACCTGGGAGCTCTGAAACAGTGCAAGTTGTGTTCATTGTACCTCTGATTAGTAAAATGATTATCTGAAACCTTGGGCTCTCTAGTGGCCCATTTTAACAGCCCTATTGTACAACCCCTCTTGCTTTAGGAGCCTTGTATTTTATAACCTAGTAATTGATATTTTATATTAAAGGACATAATTGAGGCAATGTCTCAGATGAGTAAACATAAATTTTTTTAAAAATAAAAAACATATGACTTTGAGATTTGAGTTTTGATAGTCAGGCAATAAGCATTTATTAAGAGCCTACTATGTACCAGTCATTCTGCTGTCAAGCCCTGGGGATACAAAGTAAAGCAAAAGACAGTCCCTCATCTTAAGGAGTTCACACCTTTGAGGTGAATAAGTTAAATGATATAATTTATTATAGTTCAGTTTTGTTTTAATACATATGTATTAGAATTTAAAATAGTATGTTAAATAGTATCAAATATAATATATTATCAATAGAATAAATTTACTATGTGTACCTAGTTAGTACAATGTAATAGTTGTTATTTTTTTCTTCTCATTAATATAGAGTCAGCCTGGTTCAGCTTATAGACAGCCTGGTTCAGCTTATCCTTGAAAAGAGCGATTAAATTCTGTAAGGGTATTAGACCTGGCATCACTTATTTCCTTTCTCCTTGGTTCATTTCTACTCTCGGAGAAATTATTGTGTAACTACCATCAAGTTTGCCTTATCTCATAGGCTAGAAAATAATTAAGATACAATTTTAACTATCTTTGACATTCTCTTATTTAGGTTCTAAGTGATTTGCTTTTTCTCTTCTGAACTAATTGTAATTTCTAAGAGTTACTAGGAATGAGACCTCAGTCTAATTAATTATTATGAAGAAACAAGTACTCCCTAGTACTTATGTGACTATGGACAAGTCACTTAACCTCTCTAGGCTTCAGTTTCTTTAATCAATAATGAAGGAATTGGGTTCAGTGATCTATAAGGCCCTTTCCAGCTCCAAATATTATAATTCTGTAATCCTAGGGACTAAAATTATAATCCAAAGGAAAGAAAAAATAGAGATAATAAAAATCAGAACATATTATGATGAAATGGGAAAGATGAGTTCTTATTAAATTAAACCAAATGCTCATTTTTTGAGGAGCCTGATAAATTGTTTAACCATTGGAAAACTTAATTTCCAAAAGATCAAACTCAAATTAGAAATGAAAAAGTATAGATTATAATAATAATTATGTCAGGGAACATTATGTATAGTTTTTATAATAGAATTTAAAAGGAATGAAAATATCTACTTTTACATTTTAACACCTATGGATGCTAGTATGACTGTGGAGGTTAAAGTTGGCCAGCAGATAATTCTTACTCCTTTTGTCTCTGGAGATTTAGTCGGTCACACTTTGTCGCAACAATTGGCTAATTTTCTCATGTCCTCTTAGGTCCATGTTGTCCCCTCCTCTGCTGTTTTATGAAGATTCTATTCACTTAAAGTTAGGATCATAATCACAATAGCTCAAATCCTTCAGTGAGCAAAATACCTAATATTTATTTAGAGTTAAGTCTCTCTGCCTTAATTTAAATTTATGTTGATCTCTGACCCCTGGCTTCTTTCTGGTTGAGGAAAAACTTCAGGTTACCGGAAGTGTTGTGTGAAAGAATCGAGTAGAGCTCAGTTTGTAAAAGCCAGGAAAAACCTTAGGAAGCTGACCTTCATGGCTGCTGCTTTGGTGGCTCAGCTGTTGAAGTCTCTACTATTTTCTCTGCCTAAAAACTCTTTGTGTACATGAGAAGAAAAAAAAAACAACTCAACCTCATTTTTGATCCCAGTATAGCTTCTTGGGCAGCTAGGTGGCTCAGTGGATAGCGTGCTGGGACTGGAATCAGAAAGGCTCATCTTCCTGAGTTAAAATCTGATCCCAGACACTTACTAGCTCTTTGACCCTGGGCAAGTCACTTAACCCTGTTTGACTAAGCTTCCTCATCTGTAAAAGGAGCTGGAGAAAGAAATGGCAAACCATTCCATTACTTTCACCAAGAAAACACAAATGGGGTCGCAAAGAGTTGGCTTGTAACTGAAAAAACCACTGAACAAACAAGCAGCTTCCTGGGAAGAAATACAGCTCCTAGGATCAGCAGTAACTTAGGCCTCTCTGCAAGGCCCCCAATCTAAGTTTTGTCAATTCTGTCATACAGATAATCAAAACCTATAACAAATGACTTAAAGAGACTATTCATGGGTGAATTAATAAGGCAAATGATCAGTGAATTGTCTTAAACACACAAAAGTAAAACCACATTGTACAGAAGGTTTCAGAGATAAATATTAACAAACCAGTGAAAACAAGTTTCTGTTGGCTTTTTCTAAACGTGGAAAGTTCAATTCAGCAGAGATTTA